TAGTGCTCAAATAATAATTGCAGAAACAGTTTCAACAGAGTGTCTACTTTGAACCTTACAACTGGCAAAGCAGAAGGGTAAGACAGGAAGGGAGCATCTTTGAATTATTGGGCCCAGTTCTAGTTTCCATCCACTTCTGCTCTTTCCTTGAAGAAGAGTCTAACCTATGGGTAGAGGCACAAAAGCAGCTAGATTTGACCTTGTACAAGTATCATAGCTTGTTTCACTTCAGTTTTCTTAGTTGGCAATTGGAATTGTTATGAGGATTATGTAAGGTTCTGTTGTAAAGCTCAAAACACAGTGCTTGGGACATGGTAACCCCCAGTAATAGGTGTTAGCTCTTGTTATTTATTAAGTATCTGTTCTTTGCCAAGCCCCATGGCAGGTATTTTACAGATAGTCATTTTAGTCCTCACACTAGTCCTGCAAAATAGATCTTGTTAGTTCCATTTGAGGAGATGGAGTCTCAGAGAGGTGAAACCATGTGTCTAAGGTGAACCAGTATGTGAAGGTGCCAGAATTAAACCAGGTTGGCCTGGCTATAAAGCCCATGCCATCACTGGTTTCCAGAGTAAACAGTGTATGAGCAGACATCCTCTGTGTAAATGGGACCCGAGCCATCAGGCTAAACAACTCGCTGCTCCATGCAGTTCAGGGTAATTCATATCCACTGAGTAAACAAACCATTCTGGGCAAGAGTTCCCTTGTGTCAACTTGCCTGTTCTAGGAATTCTCAGTATATACATTGGAGCCCAACCAAAAATTCAGTGTGAGGCTGGTCTTTCTTGAGCTCCCTCCCAAGGGGCTTAGCTAACAGTAAACTGGAGGGACCTTCCTTTAGGGTGGTTTCGCTCATGGGACTCTCCTTTGGCATCTCCCAAGAGATGACCTTTCAGAATGGCTCTGACACACCTCAGTCCCCGTGTCTCCAGGGCGGTAAGGGGTGCAGTTACCCGGCCTCTTAGGCTCACTGCCTTGACACCATATCCTCCTCACGCCCTGAATTAGATGTCCTCTGTGTTCTCATACCTCCCTGTGCAAGCATCTGTTAAAGCAACTTGTCACTTGCTTTTGCCTATGTCCTTACTCTCTTCCCACCTGACTGAGACCAGATTGCTACGTCCTTGTCACCTGGTAGCCCCAGAATTTTATCACACTTTTTGGAACAACAACAATAACCATAGCATCATCATAGTTGACATTTACCAGGTACTTACTATTTGTATTTTGAAGTAGGTTCTGTTGTGATCCTCACTTTAAATGCAAGGAAACTGAAGCACAAAGGGGTTCGTTTACTTCCCAAGTCACAAAACCATGAGCGGTCAAGCTAGATAGGAACTCAGGCAGCTTGATTCTAGATCCATGCTTATAACCGGTAGTCTGTGATGCCTTTAGATAGTAGATGCTTAATTAATATTTGTAGATGGATACACATGTGGATGTAAGTGCTGTATTTTGAGAAATATGATATGACCCATGACATACTTAAATCTGTGTAGTCATGAGCTGTGTTACAATGAAGCTGTTATATACTCTTCTGCTTCTATTATTCTGCAGTTCTTCATCTCTCTGCGTGCTTGCACAGGGGAGGCGGTCTAGAGCCATGCTTGTGAACATGCGTTAGAGGTGCAGGTGCAAGTTCTGGCTCTACTATTGATGAGCATCACTTCTGTGGACACGTTACTTATCCTTTCTTAGTGTCATTTTCCTCAACTGGAAAAAGAGAATAATAACAGTGCCTACCTCATACAGTAAACTTAAAGGAAATAATATAAGGGGAATAATATAAGTCACTGATCCTGGAACACAGCACTCATTCAATACACATAAGCAGGTTTTGTTACTGTTATTACTATTGTCATAAACATCATTTTTTGAAACTTTATCATCGAGAGCACTACTTGCTATCAGTGGGCAAGGAGTTCTGAGTCAATGTGAGTGATACTAAATGATACGGCTGCAGCCTAAAGTCTCAAGTGACCAAACTCAGGACAGAGATGTTTTGACCCATGAATTCCAGAGGCCTGCAAGGCATTCCAGAGCTAGTGGAGTCTTTGTCCAGTATCCACACACACCTTTGTTCTGTGGTGTACCCTGTGAGGTTCAGGGAGCCTGGGTAGAGAAGGGAACTGGGGATGTCCATGGTCCGTACCAGTCATCTGATGAGTGCTGGCTTCAAAGGTGGAGTAGACAGCTCTGTAACAGAGGCTGTCAGTAGAACACAAGGATACCGAATACCTAATAGCTAACGAGAGCTGCCATGTGTTATATAGTTGGCAATGAACTTGGCACATATTAGAGATTCATTCATTCATTCAACAGTATTTGCTGAGCCAGGCAATGTTTTAGGCTCAGGGAATCAATAATGATCAAAACAGATGAAGTCCTAGATATTCAGGTCCTTTCGTGCTTTATATGCATCATCTCCATCAACAAAGTCATCACAACAACACTGTGATTTGATAAACAAGGGAGCTGAGACTAAGAGAGGTTAAGTACTGTGCCCAAGGCCTCAGAGCTGCAAAGTGGTGAACACAGGATTTGAATCCAGGTCTTTCTGATGCATGAGTCCATTCTTCAGCCACAATATGATACTGCCTATCAAGGAAATAGCAAATGCTGGAGTCCACTGTGTGTGTGTGTGTGTGTGTGTGTGTGTGTTGGAGTGGAGGGGTGTTTGTTAATTCAGAAATCTAAATAGCTGTCCTTGTGACACAGCAATACTTGTGATCATCAATTTGCAAACTGCAAGAAGCTCAGGTTGTGGCCTCTAGTCTTGAGCTCAGTCTATCATTTTACTGCTACTGGTCAAAATCTAGTGTCCTTGGCTGCCATCAACAAAGAGAACTTTCATGCTTAGGTTTTCAGGTAGAAGCTCTGAAATCCAGTGGTTCATTCCAGACATGCCTACTAACTCACTCCTGGGTACCCTCCAGAGCCTGGACAAGGCCAGTGGGCATCATGCCCGTTGAGATGTTGTCCAGACCCAGGAAGCTAGTGCTCAAATGTCAGTGACTTTGCACAGAAAGAGTGAAATGCTCTGGTCCATTCAGGGCTGTGGATGAATGGGCCCAGAGCCAGTGAGTGGGTACTGACCCATTTGTTTAGGTCTCTTGCGTGCCCGTTCTCCATGGACTAGGGAGGAAGTTTCAGAGGCAGCATTTCAAATGCCACTGAAAGGGAGAAGGGGGGAGGGTAGTTGGTCATTGTGGTGGGGCATAAAGAGCCCAAAAGTAATGCTCTGTTTTGGGTCAGGATCTTGGTGGCCTCATTTTGTTCCCAGGGGATGCCATTGTTTCTAGGCAGCACAACCACTACTTAGCTTTACAAGTCTACTCATTCAGACTGTCAGTTCCGAAGCCGTTCCATTGCACTCTGATCCCATCAACATAGCCCACAATGCAAGGGCGGTGCAGTCAAGTGGGAAGGACGCTGTAGTGGGACATTAGGAGACCCAGATTCTGGCCCTGGCTCTGCCCCAGCTGGCAGGGGACCTTGGACAAGTGCCTTCTCTCCTGGGCTTTCCTTTCCTTTCACCCATAAACCAAAGGGGGTGGAACTGGGTGGTGATGTTTCCTGTGAGCCATTCCGGCTCTCAAATTGTGAGTTTGTTATTGGGTATTTGCAGCCTTAAAGTGTCTTTTTAATTCTTAGGCCCTGTATTCAAAACCACATTTTCTGCTCCCTAAGTGCAGTATTCTTTCTATTGCTTCATTGCATGTAAGGCTGGTCCTTAACATTTGATAACTATTTGTTAAATTAATGAATGACTATACAAGGAAATCATGAATGAATGAAACCACTGTCACATGCTGGTGTAGCTGCAAGACTTTGGTTCTCTGTTTCTGTGCAGTTGCTAGGAGGATTGAGATAACCGAATTGAGGCATTCGAATGATGTGGACACATAGAAATCAGTTTCTAGCTATTGTTGCTGCTGCTATTGTAATTATACGCCCTATTTTCTACAAATACGGAATAGTGTGCATAGGGTTTTGTAACCACCTTTTTTCAATAATGGAGATTTTTTTTCCATGTCACTAACATTCTCTAATTTTAATGGCTGCATCCTATTCTATTGTAGGAATTACAGTAGTTTATTTAACCAATCCCTTAATCTTGCACATAATGGACATAAGTCCATTCAAGTTTTTCCATATTATAAACAACATATCTAAATATTCTAATTTATTTTAAAAATAAAATGTATTGCTTTTGTAACAGGAAAAGTATTTTCAATAAATAATACTGACCCTATGACACTGTCGGCCCTGCCTGCTTAAGCTAAAATGATAGATAAGTCTATAGGAGGGCGGTGTGGAAGCCACTGAGTGCACGGCAGCCTTTGCTCTCCATGTGCAAAGAGACGGTGATCACCATCAGTTACATTGTCATTGAATGAGAAGAAAGCAGTTTTCCCAAATCCAAAGCATTGTCCCTTTCCTCTCTTGAACCAGAACTAGAAGCAAATGTGGGGCCAGGTCATATGGGCAGAGGATCCAGCCAGAGATTGGAGGCCTGGGTTGAAGCTCCCCTCTGCTGTCTGGACTCAGGTCAAGAGCTTAACCTTCTGGACCTTGGTTTATTTTTCTATGAATGAGAATATTAGTATTCTTGTTAGTATTGCCTACCCTTTCATCGCTGGTTTGGAAGATGGAAGCAGGCAAGGTTGTGAGCATAAAGTGAAGTCGTAGGTACAAGGTTAATGGGAAGCCTTAAAGTAAATGTTGTACAGAAGTGAGTTATTGAGAATATGGGGTCACTTGTTCTCTGTGCACCATTCATCTCTGGAGCTGGAACCTGGAGCACATCTAGAGTTAACAGTGGTTTTTAAGAAAATCCTCACCTCACACACCACCACTATTAAGAGGGAGCAAAAGCAGTAATTCAACCCTCTTTGCATGCTTTTTTATTTTTAATCTTTGCCAGATGTAGACTGGCAGTGAGCTGAAAGGGTGAGCACTTTCTGATAGAGGTAGTTTTGTTCTTGTCTCCCTTCTAGATAAAGAATACTTGAAGGAAAAGGAGAAGCTAGAAATGGAGTTAGCAGCAGTGAGGACTGCGAGTGAGGACCACCGGAGACACATTGAGATCCTGGACCAGGCTCTGAGCAATGCCCAGGCCAAGGTCATCAAGCTGGAAGAGGAGGTGAGACCACTGGAGATTGGAAGGGGGAGGCAGAACCCCGAGAGCCTCAATTTCCTTTTCCTAACCCTGAATCTTTAACCAGATCCAACTCCAAGGAGTTGAGTCAGGAGGAGGGATGTAGAAGACTTCCCAAATAAAAATTATTAAAAACAGAGTTTGTCCAACCCAGAGTCAGGCAGAGTATGAAAGGCATACATGAAAGAGCTCACTCTTGGCCTAAAACCCAGCCTACAGCCCATTGATGGGCCAGTGTCCAAGGCTGGAAATAAATGGAAGGACTAGAAGCCGCTGGTGCCTGTAGAGAAAAGAGACTAACAATTAAAAAAAAAAAATAGTTCAATTGCTGTGTTTTGGGGCTCTTGATTGCATAAAAAAGGGCAAAAGTCTTCTGATGGGGGTGGGGAAGGGGTGGCATTCAGCCAACCTGTGTCCAGTTTCCAGAAGTTGGCTTAGCAGTGCAATGACCACCACCCCGCCCCCCCAATCCAGGAAATTTTGATCCCACTCAAGCATTATGCATTTGGTGGTTTCTGATGAAATCAACCCTTTAGATTAGATTTTTTGAGATAAACTTTCCCTTTTAAGCCTGACTGTGGAAGTAGAATGACCACTTCTGAGGTCCATGCTAGGGGACTCAAGTTGTAGACACAGCAGCAGTAAAGGAGGAGAGGTCTCCTGGGTAGACAGGAGCCTGCTTCACTGCACCTTCCAGCTGCCCCCGGCGGCAGGCGCCTCCCTGTTGTGGGGGGCTGACCTGAGCAGAGCCATTGTGGAAAATGGAAGCTCAGAGTCTGGAAGAGGCATAACTGAGATATTCTACACAAAGTACTTAGCTTGGTGCTTGGCACACAGAAAACGGTATTGTTATTAATCCAACTGTTGTTGTTGTTGAAAATAAAAAGCAGTTCCTTCAGAAAACATCTCCTGACACCAAGTAATTCAAGTGTGACAGCAAACTTCAACTTCAAGGTTAAAACAGCTAAAGGGGAAGATTGTTAAGTCAACAAGGGTCTTGTCCGTTAGAAGCCCTCTAAGCCCCTCAAGTGCTATGTAGAAACTATGATTTTAATGCCAGCCTGAGGATCCCGGGCAATAGCCCCAGAGTATTTTCCTTGTCACCACTAAGGAACTGACTAAATAGAAATATATTTGCCGCAGAAAGTGACCTTAAGTCCTGAAGGACAGGAGGTCTGCTTGGAGGAGGGGAGGCCAGGACTCCTTAATATCATTATAACGGAAATCGCGTATTGAGGCTCCATCTCCATGTGTGGAGCAAAGGAAAATTATAATTTTTTAAATCTTTTCATTTGATTATTTCTATTAAAGTTATGAACTCCTTGAAGACGAGTTCTTTGTAATCACCATTATGGATCTTGTCTCCTCATTGTATTTATATAAGATCTTTGTGTGTGGCCTGCAGAATGTCTCCTCTGTCTCTCTGGCTTCCAGTATCACTCCCTGTTCTTACTAAAGTTTCTTGTGAGGGGTCGTAATTCAGTTCAGATGGCTCACGTTGAGGGCTTACCACAACTTCCCACGGTGGTTAAGAGCTTGGACTTGAGAGCCAGGCTGCCATGAATTAGAGTCTTGACCCCTGGATGGATGTGTCAGTTGTGTGACCTTGAGCAAGTCCTTCAGTTCTGTTTTCTCACCTCTTAAATGGAGATAATAAAGAAGTTTCTGTTTTACTGTTACCGGGAGGATTAAATGAGATACTGCATATAAAGCACAAAGCGTGGCATGGTAGTGCTTCAGAAATGTTGGCTGATATAATTACTGTTATTATTACTCACCCTCATCACAATATACTGCTTTCTAGACTTAAGGCTGACACAAAGATGAATGCGAGAGATCTGTGCCTTCAAGAATCTTGTAATTGATTAGGGATAAGATTAATTCATGCATTTAACAAATATTTATTGAGTACCCACTGGATGCCAGGTACCGTTGCAGGCATTGAGGACACACTGTGCACTCTCCCAAAATCGACAAATCTCATGGCACTTATATTCTAGTGGCTACACGCTCAGACAGTCTAGGACATGGTAAGTGGTTTATGAATGGTACTCACAATATTTGATCAGATGAGGCTTCTAGCATAGAAACCTGCAGTTAGTAGGTCCTCAACTGTCTATTAAATTGAATGTTGCAATCAAAAGCACAGTGAATGAAAGAGCCAGATGAAAACTGATCCCAAGCGTAGGTGTAGAAAAGGCGGTAATGTTGCTCTCCCCGCACTGGGAAGGTCAGAAGCGCCTCCATTTTATTCCAGTGGCTTTGGCTGGGATGTAGGCGTTGCTCCTGGCAGTTCTGCCTTCTAAGTCAGAAACCACCCTTCGCAGCAAGCTCTTAAATCACTAGCATGTTCCAACTTGCCAGTGCGATCATGGGATGAACTCAGGATCTGAATCACCTGCAAGGCATCTGCATGCTCGCTTGCAGGATGACAGGAAATAGCATCTGGTGACTTCTCACCCAGGACCAGATCAAGTCAATGCCTCAGCCTGATTTTTGGCATCAGCCAATTTCCGGAAAGTTAGAAATGTGCCTGAGATTTATGAACATGGGCCAAACTCCTAATTGGAAGAAAACAAAGTTTGAGGGTAAGAATTTGAAGTTGTGATCATGATTCTAAATCCATACCTGATGTGACATTTCCATAAATCATTTTTACCTTAATTTCCATCTCCTCAGTTATTGTGCTGAGTGTTCATTATGCCCTTCCTGTCTCTTCAGGGCTGTCAACTACTCATCTATAAAGGGCTCTGAAATCTTTGGGAGAAAGTTACTCCACAAATATCCATAAGAAGTTTTTATATTCATTCACACACGCACACAAATGGGTACACATGTAGATATACATGCATCCACAATTTCTGAAAATTTGGAAAATATAGAATAGAATAAAGAAGATGAGAAATGACTATTCTGCTGTACAGATAAACGCAGTTAATGCTTTTATTTCCTTCCAGTCTTTTTTCGTATGTAGATAATAGATAGAATGACATAGTTGTGATAATGTTGTATATAATTTTTGATTCTGGATTTTCCAGTTAACGTTATAGAATAAGCATTTCCTCATGACATTAAAAACTCGTTATTAACCTCATTTCCAATGCCTGCAAATGCTGTAGTTATTAAGCAGTAACCACGGAGTGAGCTCAGAGCTATACAAGTTACTAAAAGCAGGTGTCCCCTTAGGGTCTTGAATTCCAAGCATCCCAGCCATTTCAGGTGTAACTGGTGACCTTTGTCTAAATCTTTTCTTTCCTGAGGGGTAAGAGTAGGGAAGGTGCATATGCTTGTAGTTTAAACAAGATCTCCAGGTAATCTGACCCCCCACCTCCACCCCAACTCTGAGAATCACTGGTCTAAATTCTATGCTCCTTTTTCCTCTCCTCTGCTCAGTTACGAGAGAAGCAAGCATATGTTGAGAAGGTGGAGAAGCTGCAGCAGGCCCTGACCCAGCTGCAGTCAGCATGTGAGAAGCGAGAGCAGATGGAGCGGAGACTGCGGACCTGGCTGGAGAGAGAGCTGGATGCGCTGAGAACCCAGCAGGTGAGGGACTGGGGGTGGGGCCGACAGCAGAATCAGACACGTTCATTCAGCAAACGTTATGGAGCAGAGCACCTGCTGTGGGCCAGGCTCTGCACTCGGCGCTGAGGATTCAGAGGGAAACGAGCTCCCTGTCCTCTGCGAACCAACACAGCGGCCAGTAGAGGAGCTAGGCAGTCCACTCACTGCAGTGACAGACATCCTTACAGAGAGCAAATGGTGACCACTGGGGGCTGGGTATAGGGGAATGCGGCTTTAGACGGCTTCACAGAGGAGGACATTTGAGTTGGACCTTGAAAGATGAGTTTGTTGAGCATTCAGGGGGAAGAACACGAGAGGTAGAGGAAGAGTATGTGTAAAGGAGAGAGGTGTGAAACGTCATGGTGAGTTCGGGACAGTTGGCACAGCTAGCTGGGGGAGAACGCCCAGTGTGGCAGCTGGGAGGAGGCAGAGGCCAGTTTGTGGAAGGCTTTTGGTCAAGTTGAGAGATTGGACTTTTTCCTGTAATCGACAGAGCCAACTGGGAGGTTTTTAAGCTGGAGAGGATTATGGTACAAAGGACCAGGGAAAGAGCCCTCTGGTGGCATCAGGAGGGTCTGGAGGGGCAGATGCAGAAGTCAGGGAGGCCAGCCTGAAGGCTCTTAGTGTCATCTAGGGTGTGGTGACAATGGGAATCCACGAAGGAGCTAGGAATGGGGTGAAATTAGTAGGACATGATCACATGAATTGTCAGAGGTAAAGGAGAGGAAAGAGTTTAGGACTATCCCTAGAATATAATATTGGCCATAAGCTCCTAGTCTTTCTGACTCTCCTCTTTTTCCCGGTAACAAGTGTTAATGTAACTCAGTTACGAATAAGCTCAGAGCAAAATACCCCAGCCCAAGGTCCATGTGTGCCTCGGCGAGGGGAGAAGTCCTGCAGGAAAGCTCTGCAGCTGGGCTGCGCTCCGTTACAGGCGAGTCAAAGGCTCCTGGCTCCCAAGAGAGCCTGGGCTGTGTGTCATCAACCAGCATGCTGGGCAAAGCCCCTCTCTGCAGCTGATGAAGGGTGTGCTCTAAGTTGGGATCCAGGGAAACACAAGACAGGGCTCCACGGAATTATCTACTGGAGAGGGCATAGTGGTTGTGGTTGAAACACTTGAAAACACTTGAAAGCTTATGCTCAGGCCAGCTCAGCCCTTTCTCATGGCAGGCACACACAGTTCCCTCTGGGTGTGTGTACTTGGCTGGGGAAGGAGGTGTTAGTGAGATTGCCCAGAAAATTAAGAAACCCACCCGGCCTCCCACCATCTTGGCTTAGTTGATAGTACGTAAGGAAGAGTGAGTCTGTCTCTGAACTTCTGATCCTGCTAACCTGTGCCACATTTCCTGGCACTACAGGTCTACCCTTCAGCTCTTCTCTGTTGCACAGTTAGTGAGATCTTAACCTCCCCACTGGAAGGCAGGCTTCTCTGGTGCCTGGTACCGTGCTGGCACCTGATGGATACTTATGAGTCTTTGGCTGGCAAAATGGGCACATCTCAATACTTAGAGCCAAAAAGAATGTTCTTTTCCAGTTAATGTACCACCCACACCCTACAGTTAGGTTACTTATCCTTGGATTTTCTATTTTGAGTGCAGTGAAACCAGACTCAACTCCATTATCTTGTTGTGAACCAAGAAGAAATAGGAAGTTAGAATTATTTGAAAAATATCTCTGTTGCCACAGAGGACATTGGCTGTACGCACCCTCAGACCAGTGCACATTCATGCCCATTATTTCCTCAGACAAGACTGGCAAAAACAACATTCCTGCTGTGCACAAAGGCTGCTGACGGGTATAGACGTACCTGTGGAGGACAGAAGTTTCAGAATTGAGGCTCCACAGGGAAATTACTCGGCTTACATTTTAGATTTGTTTTGGGGAGCTGATCGCAGATCTCCGGCTATCTATGGCTGACATGAGACCAAAGAGAGGAGAGACAATCTTTTCCGTTCAACAGAACTTTGATGATCAGCATCTCTTTAAAAAGAATATTGTAGTTTTTTTTTCCAACAAGAGTATTAATCTGTCTCCTATGAAATGAAAGACACTCAAGATTTCCCTGTTGCTTTTGCCTACTCATTAAAAAGATGAGTATTATTTTTTATTTCTTCCTTTGATACTTCTTTATTTTCTCATTTTACCAGTAAGCGTACATTATTCTAGAACCAGAAAAGGTAAAAATGATATTACAAATAAATCCTCCAAAAAACCTTGAGTTTTTAACTATTTCCATGCTGCCAATACTATAAAGGGTAGAGTTGGGTCAAACTCATGCCTGGGGCCTGTGGGCTAGTATGGCGAGCACAGCCCTGCTGGCCCTCAGCGGGGATGACCGGAGCCCAGTCTAGTCCACTCCAGAGCATGGGGTCACCCGAGACGCTCGGCCTTTCTGGTAAAGGTATCCAGGGGCCTCTCTGATCAGCTTCCTCCTCATTCACTCTTGAGCGACTCATCATATGCCTGCCTGATGTGGCCAGCCCACGCGGCACCCTGCCCCTCGCCCCTGTGTCACCAAGGCATCTATCTGACCCCTTTAGAAAACACGCTGAGGTTACGCTGTAACAAAGCCCCTGGTCATCTCCCCCCTCAACAAAGCGGTAAGACCACTTTCCCTAGGGAATTATTCTGAAGGGACTGTTGAGAGAGTAGCTTAGAGCACTTGTTGAATCAACGCCCCACACAAGGGCTCTGTCCTTAGACTGATGTCAGGACACAGCTGAACTTTTCCACCTAGCCCCCTGACAACTCAGAGCCCCCAAGTGAGCTCCAGTTATTCCTGCATGGTGCCCTGGAACCTTCCAGAAGGGTGGGTAGACTGGAGGTGAACTGAGTAGCATGGAATCATGAATTGATTCAGAGCATGGGCCGACCAGGGCTGAATCCTGCCTCCTCCTCCTACTAGAGAAGTAGCCTTAGGTCAGTAAGCCTTCTGAGCCTCGACTTCCTTGTCTCTGAAATGGGGCAAATAAATTACGCTTATGTTATACTTGTGATCACAAATAAGAAAATCTGCACAAAGTGCTTACACGGTGCCTGGCATTTAGCAATTGATTAAGAAAGAATAACTGTCATTGCTGTTCTTATTATCATCATTACCTTCAGAGCCATTGGAAGGCGTAGGGCATCCTGGTCCCCTCTCCCAAATTCCTTCCTTACTCTAGCTTTCCCAGTCCTACTTAAAAAAAGGTGACAGAGTGTGGCTGTTTGGGACTGGGCGGGGGAGATAGGTCAGGACACAAGGACTAGCAGGGAAGAGCAGCTTCCAGACGACAGGATCTTGTTAGTATGAGTAATCTCTCTCCACCTTGAGAAGGGAAGTGGTACTTAAGCATCATTAAAAGCTGGGGGGAAGTGAAAGAGAAATAAAGGTAAGAGGGAGGGAAATTTAACATTTTTAAGAACTCAAAATTTTATCTTTCTTGCAATGAGCTCAAAATAATTTTCACATTTACTTCCATAGTAGTCCTATGAGGTAGAAGAGGGAAGAGGGAATGTTCTTGAAGAGGAAAATGAGGCACAGGGCAGTTAAGAGCCCAGCCCAAGGTCATTAGCTAATTAGGACATTCCTCCCAGGTGCACACATTGAGGGCAGAGATTTTATCTGTATTGTTCACTGTGGCATCCCTAGCGCATGGTACGTGCTCAGTAATATTTGTTGACTGGTTGAATGGGCAGCAGAAACTGGGCTGCCTGACTTTCAATCCATTTTTCTGGCTAGCATATTTACTCATTAGACCATGCCATCTCTGTATGCCTGAATGTTGAAATTTGTGCGTTTATTTAAATAACTCTTAATGACTTGAATTAGGGGCCCTGTGTGATCTCATGTGAGGTCGAGAGGACTCTGCAAAAATCAGCCAGCTGAGATGGCAACATAAGTGATTTAGATAGAAACTGACAAGCGTAGATGGCAGCTTAGTGAGGCTGTGGGATCTTTTTCTTGGAAAGCTTCTAACCACAGGGGAGCTTCTCATCCCGATGGACTGGTTCATTTATCCTTCTCTCTGAGGCCGGGTGCTTGGCCACAGCGGGTCAGTGACTTCCTGTACAGGTCATTGAGGACAGGTACATCTCTTCTGCTCTATCCTTGCTTAAATGTTGGTCACTAACAGGCTACCACTAGAGCCTAGATCTAGTATTTGTAGCTTTAAAAAATTGAATGGAAACGTGTGGTTTACAAAAAGCCCATAGGCCCAGTTGTTCTTTTCTCTCTGGTAGGATTAGATTCCATCACTGCAGCTCAAATGTCCAGCCACTGCCCTGGGTACCTTAAGTGGTTCAGGGTAAAGCGTTCAGGTCCCTCTCACCTTATGTGCAGCTCTGCATTTAAAATTTGTGATGACTGGAAAACATGAGGGGAACATGTGTCCCAGGACATGGAATAGCTGGGATGAAGTCATGCTCCCCTGAAGTCAGAACCTCTTCAAAACTCCATCGTCCTCTGTCACACTTTAGAGGGAATAGCATACCTGAGTTAGAAGGAAAGAGTGAAATGTGACTATCCTGAGCTTGTGAGCAGTCCAGATAACACAACGCTTATTTGCTATCTTACAGACACAGGTGAAAAGAAAGGGCTGAGAAATGAGCGTGACCTGCGTTAGAGGTGTTCTGGTAGCACTTGAGTTTGTTCAGCCCTTTAAGGTTTATTAAATGCTCTCATATGCCTTGATTCCCAGGCTTCTAGGTGGGGCAGGTATTAGTTCCTCTGTGTCCCAGGTGAGAGCATTGCAGCCTGCACCTTAGGGCATCTCACTCCCACTTCCTTCGCCTTCACATTTTATCCCCCAGCCTCAGGGGAAACAAACAACTGGAATCATGTCCTTGAACTCGGGAGAAAGTGCCCTAGACCAGGAGGCCAAGACTTAGTTCCTGTTCTTGCTTTTGGTGTAAATTCACTACAGGACATTGGACGAGCCACTTCCGGTCATGGTCATGCAGAGCTGTATGGCCAGACAGACCCGAGTTTGAATCCTGACCCTACTATTGATTAGCTGAGAGATATTGAACAGTTCATTTAACCTGTCAGAAGCTTAGTTTTCTCATCTGTAAAACTGGGAGATTGTCTGTTTTACAGAGTTCCGTGAGAATTAAATGAGATAGAGAAATTGGGGAGGTGAGGTAGCTTGGTGTTGGGATCCGCCAAGCTTGGGTCATCCATACTGAAGAGAGAGCAAGAGCATGATGGTGATGTGTGTGCATGTGCTGTGGGATCTGGGTGAACCGTGTGCTCCACGTGGGTAACTATGCAGACACGGTTTATGTATTCTCCTTTATAGTCCCATTTGAGTGTCAACATCTTGTTTCTCCTGCTTTCTCCAGAAACATGGAAATGGCCCACCAACCAGCATGCCAGAATACAATGCCCCGGCTCTCATGGAACTCGTGAGGGAGAAGGAGGAGCGGATCCTGGCCCTAGAGGCCGACATGACCAAGTGGGAGCAGAAGTACCTGGAAGAGAGCACCATCCGACACTTTGCCATGAACGCTGCAGCCACTGCCGCAGCCGAGAGGTGAGACCAGCGTAACTCTGGTGGCCGGAAAAGCCCAGCTGAAAAGAAACAGAGTGTGTCCGGATAGGTCCGGAGTACCACCCTGGGAGTGAGATCAGTTAAAAATAACTTTAAAATGGCTGTAGTGCTAGTTGGAGAGCAAGATGGTATAACATTTCTGAAGGATCATTTGGCAATATGTACCTCCCCTTTGGTTCCAAAATTCTAGTTCTAGACATTTATCTTAAGGAAATCATTATATAAGTGCCTGAAGATTTATGTCCAAGGGTGTTCATCCCATTGTCATTGAAGATATCAGTACATTTAAGACAGCCTAGAATCCAACAAGAGGGACTCATTCAATAATTTAAAGTACCTCCACACAGCGGAATACTGTGTGGTCTTTAAGAAAGATGTTGTGAAAGTATATTTTATGGCTCTTTTTAACAATGGGTGTGTGTCATGGGCCAGACAAAAATATTTAATCCTCATAATAGGGCTGAGAGTAGAAACTATTATTATCCTCATTTTTCAGGTGAAGAAATGAGGCTTAGAGAGGTGCAGTGGTTTATTCCAATCGCACTGGTAGTAAGTGGTGGGACCACATGTCACATTGAGATTTGTCTGACTTAAAGCCTGATTTCACTTGGTTTGAAATTTTCTGCTGCTGTCAATTATTACCTCTGTTGCCATATTTCCTTTATATAGGCGTCTAGCCTTCTTCTTCCTTTAAAAGTTAGCTCAAAATGCTCAACTCTTCACAAAAATAATTCTGTTAAACTGTGTCTTGTCTGAATGAGCAGTTTTCCCAGATTGCTGGATCTTGTGGCATGCATCATTGTTGCAAAGACCTGAGAGGCTGTGCACTCCACCGGTTGAGGCTCTCCTGGTGCTTCCCCAACCTCGTTTGCTTTTTGCCTATAAGTTATATTGGGCATTTAATGCAGAGTTGTTTGGAATTTACCAGAATTTTATTTGGAGAAGATCCTCACGTTTCAAAGGAGCATCCATAAAACGGGACTTAATGAGGGCTATTGTGTTGGGATGGTAGGATCTGAACCAGTAAAAACTAAGGATGCAACCCAATCATCCCGTCAGTCCCATACTTCCTTGGGATGTCTTATTTCTTCTTTGATGAGGAAGAGAAGGCCCATTGGGGTGGAGGGGGGATACTTGATCAGCTGTTTATGGGCTCTCACGTTCATTACCCAACTAGAAAAGAATCCAGGATGTTACCTCCAGGAACTTGAAGAGAGAGCAGTGCCACCCATGAGGGCATAGATGCCTCTGCCAGGCACCCTGGCACACTTGGACCTAGGGAGACCTGCAGACTCAGGTGGAAAATGAAATTGGGGATCATTTTCTAGTGCTCAAGTGTTGTTGATATATGTCTGTGCTGTGAGGGAAAACGGCCCACAGCATCCCATATGAGTGGGACTTGGGGAATGGGAATAGACGTTTGAGACGTGTATTGAGCGGTGGAGCTCCAAGGTCCTACAGTGAGAGTTGGAGGAAATTGCAGCCTCCAGTTCAGTCCTTGCACTGCATGGGTGAGAACAGTGAAGCCCTTGGAAACATTTCTTGATTTTTACATAATTGAAATGTTTTTATTTTCAGCTTTCTGTTTTCTAAGGTAATAACTAAATCACCTCTCTATCTGGAGTAAGAGGACAGACCTTCGTAAAGTTACAGGGGGATTTGGCCTTCCTGGCCAGATTTGGTCTAACGCATAGCTCTCGGTGATTGCGCTGGGAATTGTCTTTTTCCGCGTGACTTTTATTGAAGAGAACACTGCCTAAGGAGGCAGGACACCTACATTCAAGGCTTCTCCCTCTGTCGCTGACTATAAGTGTGATTCTGCACAAGGCTTTCTGAGCATCACTGATCTCGTGTGTGAGATGGAAATTATAATTCTTGGCTGCTTATGAGCAGGAAACCAGACCCTATTCCATTGCCTGAGGACACGAAAACCCCAATAGCAATGTAAATACGTTACCTTGGAAGGATGACACAGGGGCCTTTATGTGTCCTTGTCTCAGCTCCTATTGATTTATTGCATTAGATGCATGTTTGGGATCCTGGGCCCTGAGAGGACCAATGGGCCTGGAATGTAAAATCTGAAGTGGGGGAATGAACATGTCTGAAGCCTAAGACCCCTGTGGTGGGCGCAGGAGGGGATGGCGAGGGAACGAGTAGAGCCAGGCAGAGCCCAGACACCATCAGCCGCTCACACTGTGCTAGGCGCCACCTTGTTCGTCTTCCTTCATGAAGGGAGACATCTCTTGCCCTCAGAGAATAGGAGTCCTGTGGGCTCTTCCAGCCCTGTTGTCCTCCTCTGCCCTATTTGGAGTCCTGGATGGAAGAATGGATCGAGGCCTTTTGCACGCTCCCACCCTTCCCACCTTCTTTGCTTCCATGTTTATTTATTGAGCATCTGATAATTCTGTGGGAAACTACCCTCCTTATTACAGACCACTCCTTCCCACCGTTTTTGGAAAAATCAGTTCAGGGGAGGTCAGGTTTTAGCTCCAATCTTAATGTTCTTTTCCAAGAAAACTTCTGTAATTTCAACACTGCTTTTCTGTTGATAGAAAAGGAAAATGAAGAATTTTTGAGAAACATCGAGATTCTGGGTTCTTGTTGTCTGGTTGCTAAATGGCTGCATATGAATAGGTAAAAGTGACTATTTCCAGCCATCAGTTTTGTGACTTTTCAGCCACTGATACATACTTTGCATTTATAGGCAATGATTTTTAAACAAAGAAAACGGTTTTTGTATACCAACTTGTTTTGCCATCTTGGTGCATTTTGACATCGTTGATCAGAATTTTGAGAGATTGAGCCTATTTTTTATGGTTTTGAAACTTTTTACAAATTTCAAAGCAATGTAATATTTTTTGAGAGTTTTATGTGTTTCCCTTCTAAGTCGTTCTCATCTAATTGTGCCTGCTGTCATTACTTGGCAGTATAAACATGAATTTTTAAATTTGTCTCCAGCTCTGTGTGAATTCTCCAAAAGTAAATTGGTTGACAATGTTTCTCTAGCCACTAATTCAAGCATTGGTGATTTTTGTGCACCACAGGTGGATTTATAATTTTGTCAGCGTGTTTAAAGCATTTTGCTTGTTTTCTACATTATTTGGCTTTATGATTTATTTTCAGCCATGGTTTTTGCACTTGGCCAGATTCTCACGTCTCTGTTGGTTTATTTTATCTTCATGCATCTTTGCTGAGGCCTCCTTCATAAAGATGCAGAAAACAGGAGTTATAGATATCTGGGTTTGAATCCGTTTCCATCTTCACTAACAGGCTGTTCTTGGAAAAGTCGCCTCCCCCGTTTGTTTATCTGTAAATGAGGATAATAACACCTGCCTCACAAGTTGCTCAGAGGACTAAATGAGACACCAGGTGTAACACACTTTACCTGGTCACTGGCATGAAGGAAACAATGCTCACTTGTTGATAGCTGTCACTAAAAGAGATGAAAGAAGGGGCTTTTTTTTTTTGCTGTTTTTGAGTGTTCTAGAAAAGAGCTATAATATTTTAAATAGGATTGTAGCATTGTAATGTGGAGTTAAAGAGATGTGAAATGTTTGACTAGATCGTTTCTTACTAATTTAGTATTCCCTGATCAGAGACATTGCACCTTGCAGTCTAAAGTATACTTAGATCACTTAGATTGCTCAGTTATCTTATTTTTACCAATTGTTGTTAACTAGGAGTAATTAAATTTCCAAAGCCAGTGGCAGGAATAGTTATCTTTGACCAGTTTTTTTCAGTCAGACACCTGCTTCCAGCTACACTGCTTTTGAATCTACCTATGTCTGTCCCTCCCCTCACTCCACCCCCTGGACTGGACTTGCTAAGGACAGGCTGTACATCGTCTTGCATCTTTTCTGCCCTGCTACCCAGCGTGGGTGTCACACCAAGCGGACCTGAGTCCTAGGCAGGGGCTCATAAAACGAAAAGTGAGCTAGGAGGCAAATGTGAAGGGAATTTCTGCTTGAGCCTCACTGTCCAAGAGGGACCAGTCTCAGTTTCAAGTATTTACTGAGTCTCCATTTTACTCTGAAATACTGAAGTAGCTGCTATACAGATGAGAAATAGAAATAAAACTTTAACTCTGATTGAGAAAGTGAGAAAGGATAAGCAAGTATGAAAAGGTACAAGCATAGAAACACTAACAGATATAATAATAATGGTATCCGTATGTCAATAGGTGTAGTGTTCGTATTCACAGCATGCCATGTGGTTTAATATACAATGTCGTTAGTAGAAAGGGCAGGGAATTTTGATTTGGGGATTTTATTTTGTTTTGTTTAGGTGCTGTCTTAATTCTATCCAGTTTCAGGAGAGAATTTGCCAGGATTTAAGAGAGGGAAAGTGGGTGAAGGAGTTTGAGGAGAGGGATTTTGAGTGTGGTGCTTGGATGTCTCTCCTCGGGCATGTGCATCATTCTCTGAGCGTGTCCTGTGTTGCCAGGGACACGACGATCATCAACCACTCGAGGAACGGCAGCTATGGTGAGAGCTCGCTGGAGGCCCACATCTGGCAGGAGGAGGAGGAGGTGGTACAGGCCACCAGGAGGTGTCAGGACATGGAATACACGTAAGGGATGGCCGTGTGCACGGCTCTGCTCTGACACTCACCTCGAGACCCTGGTGGGGCCTGCCAGCCCGGTGTTTGCATTCACACTCCAGCCCCTTCCTGTTCCAAACAGCTGCAAGCTCGAGTTCTCCAAAAATTCCCCTCCCCCAGAGAGAAGGGAAAGTTCAAACCTAAGGAAGAGATTCTGCTCAAGATGGGACTGGAGCCTGAGGGATAATTTCCTGTCAGATGCAGTTTTAAGATGGAGGCTAATGACAGAAGAATTTAGATGCCCATGTGTTTTTTCTGAATGTTTGTCTCTATAACCTTCTAGACATTACCAGCTGGAAAGGGGAAACCATATTTTTAAAGGCTCCGAGTTTTTGAGTCAGGATTTATATATTCCAGCCAGAAATAAAGAACTTATTTAGCTAATGCATTCTTCTCATGGGCTAAACAAGACTTCCAGCAGGCTTCGTGACATAATAAAACCAGCCTGGCCACCCCCACTCCCCCACTCCTGAGGCCCCGTGGGCCCTGGGAACCTAAGCCTCTCATTTTGCAGATGTGAAAATAGGGCTGAATAGCTGAGTCATTGATAGGCTCAGAGAGTTCCTGTCCAAGTTGTGAAAAGAACTCTAGTGTTTTCTCTGATTCTCATTGTTGGCCATTGGGGAAAAAATTATCTTCTCCCAGAAAACTTGTCCATCTTTTAATTTTTTTTTTCTCAGAAAATAGGGAAATTGACTTCAGTGGAAAGCTCCCGTGTGTGAGGCTTCAGAGTTTCCGTGCTTCCCTTCTGCTCCTCCTGCCCCCACCGTCAGGGATCCTAGACCCTCTAAGTTGGTCCCTGAGCACACTGTGGTCCAGGAGGTCTCTGCTGGGCAGCCACAGTCACTTGAACTGAAGTCCCAGAGTCTCCTGAGGGGCCAGAGAAGGTGCACCCTTTTGATCCACTACAAAAGGTCCCTCTTATACAATTTTCAGATTATAAATGTTTGAAGACTCATATTGCACTTAACTCTCTATCCTTGAATTATAATTAAAGTCACTGGGCAGCCTGACAGAAACGTTTCAAGTTCTTTTAGCCAAATGGCTTTTGATTATAACTGTTTGGTTTGGTTTTGTTATACAGTATTAAAAATCTCCATGCCAAAATCATAGAGAAGGATGCCATGATTAAGGTCCTTCAGCAGCGATCCCGTAAAGATGCCGGGAAGACCGACACCTCAAGCCTGCGGCCTGCCCGCTCTGTGCCGTCCATTGCCGCAGCCACTGGGACCCACTCTCGCCAGACCTCTCTTACCAGTAGCCAGTTAGCCGAAGAGAAGAAGGAAGAGAAGACCTGGAAGGGGAGCATAGGTGAGCCCCTTGCCTCGCCTCCTTCAAACAGTGAGAGGCAGGCTTATCTGGTGGAGAGTCCTGACGCTTCCATAGTAGGCTGGCTCTGCCACTCATGGACACAGAAATGTCATTGGCTCTCTCCAGGTCTCAGTTTACTCATCTGTAAAATGGGGAGGATACTCAATCATACCTTGGTTGTGGAAATTAAATGAGCTATGTGGAAGCAAAGGCTATGCCACCGGAGCAGCCGTTAGCCCTGGGTTGACTCAATATAGCTATTATCATTATCGTTGAAAGTTGAGGAGATGCTACAACATAAAATGTCCTAATAGGAAAAGCCCAGAGACGTCAGCCTCTGAACTTGGCTCTGCCCCAGACCAGTTGTGGGACCGCTCCACCTCTGCCTCCATGTCTAGAAAAGGGTGATGGCTGCCCTGCTTTCCCCCATGGGGCTGTGGTGAGGGCAAAATGAGATAACGGGGAGAAAGCACTTTGGAAGAAGTGCTCTCGAGCCTAAGGGGTTGTTGGTGGTGGTGTTTGTTGTATTTTTGTTGCACAGGCAGAATGTTGAGGAGAATTCCGCAGATGTGGGCTTAGCCACGAATGGGTTTCCTGGGGTGAGGGCGGGGCCGGTTGACCATTCGAGCTGAGTCTGGAGAGGAAGCAGGCAGCATTCCCACACGCACGTCCTCTGCTCTCTTCCCCTGCACTCTGGCAACTCCAGGGGTCTGGCCCCTCTTTGATGCATTTCTCTGGGTCAGAATGTGTTTTGTTTCTCTGTGGAGCCGAGAGCCAGTTTTCCTCAGCACAGGACATCAGAGGAGCCTGGCTGCTCCGTGCCAAAGGGGATAAGAGCTTCCAGTATGAACCCGACAAAGCTGGAGGATGAAAGTGCTCAGCCAGAAACTCTGTTTGAAGTCCCTCCACAGGTCGCTTCAGCAGCCCCTGCCCTCCAAGGAAATGTACTTCAAAGAGGATGTGTGTGGACAGCAGCTGGGATCATCAAAGACTCTCCCAAGGACGCTTAGCTCCTCACCCCAGTTACAGAGCCTGGGAGGTGATGCTCAGACAGGCCTGGTGAAGCAGTTGAAATGTGCTCAGCTCTGATGGAAACCTCCCTGGCAGAGGCCAGTTTATGATGTCCAACCAGGCAGGCATTCCTCTGATGTCTGTGCCTGTATCTCCCAGCATTTGGCACGTCTAAACCAGGCCTGGGAGCCTGAGGACGCAGTCTGTAGGAAGGGTTGCTGTGTTCTCTGCACTGGTACTCCTCCTCCTTATTGTAATTGGTGTCCTCATGTCACAGAAACAGAGAGGGACTCTCTGACTTGCCAGGCAGAGGCACACAGTCACGGGTCACTGCATAGTTCCCAAAACGTTTCCACAATTTCTTGCCAGACGGGCTCTGGAAGGAGGTAGAGGTGACAGCATATTCCTTCCGGAAGGCTCAGGGGCTCCCAGATGAGATGACTGGCTAGTAACTTAGTTCCACAAGAACATCGTTGTTGGACTGTGGAGCTTTGACAGGCAGAGTGATGAGGTGGAAAGAATGCAGGTTGGACTTAAAGTCAGGCACAGCTGGGTTTGGATCTCATGTCTGCTACTCCTTAGTTGTGAGATATTAATTTCTCTGAGCTTTCATTTCCTTTTCTGTAAGACAGAGGATAACATGGGACCTGTCTCATAGGAGTGTTGTGAAATATGAAGTGAGATGTGTATGAAGCACATAGCCAAAGACCATTGCTACTCAAAGTGTGGTCCATGGACCAGCAGCTCTGGCATTACCTGGGACCTTGATAGAGGTGCAGAGTCTCAGGCCCCACCCACAGAATCAAATCTTCATTGTAACAATATATCAAAGTAATTGAAATGCACGTTACATTTTGAGAAGCACTGCTGTAGACAAACTGAATTGCTCTGCGTTGCATTATGAATGGGCACCTTGAAACAGCCCTGGCAGGGAGACTGTATGAATTGCTGGCTAGTTAAGATAAGGGAACAAATACGTGGTTGTACTTACCACATTTTCTATAGGCCAGTGTTCTGGAGTGCTGGCACTTTTCTGAATGTGTGCCGTATTTCACTAGTTAAAAATAAAAGTGGGGGCTAGCCCCACGGCATAGTGGTTAAGTTCAGCACGTTCCACTTCGGTGGCCCGGATGCGCGGGTTTGGATCCCAGGCACAGACCTACACGCCTTGTCAGCCACGCTGTGGCGGTGACCCACATGTAACAAGTAGAGGAAGACTGCTACAGAAAGATTAGCTCAGGACTAATCTTCCTCAAGAAAAAAACGAGGAAGACTGGCAACAGATGTTAGCTCAGGGCTAATCTTCCTCAGCAAAAAAAAAAATTAAAATTAAAAATAAAAAAGTTGCTCTCCTGTCCAGCTTTGCAGGAAGACATTGAGGTAAAGGGACAGCACTGCACATTGTGTGTCCCTTTTCCCTAGCCAGCACGCCCTCTTCCCACTGCAGCCTCTCGATTCTTGGGGTGGGGAGGACGAAGAAGGCTAAGTGGCCCTGAGGAGCCCAGCTGGCTTCCCGCTTCGTGGGGGCCATGGCTCTGTGCTGCAGGGATCTCTTTTGGGGAATAATGTGCACCACTCAGCGTTGCTCTGACCAGGAAGTGTGTTTGTGTTTGAACCCGGGCCTGTGAGAGACCATCCGTTACCAAGAGTGGGGTGGAATTATTGGCTATTCAGAAGAGCAGCAGGCCAATGGGACCTTGTCTAGGACCAGGGAATCCTTCCGTTTTTTTTTTTTTTTTTAATTGAGGTCACATTGGGTTATAACATTATATAAATTTCGGGTGTACATCCTTGTATTTCGACTTCTGTATAGACTGCATCATGTTCTCCACCAAAAGTCTAGTTTCCATCCGTCACCGTACACATGTGACCCCTTACCCTTTTCACATTCCCTCCACCCCTGTCCCCTGTGGTCACCACCAATCTGATCTCCCTAACTAGGTATTTGTTTGTTTGTTTATCTTCCAAATATGAGTTAAGTCATATGGTAATTGTCTTTCTCCATCTGACTTATTTCACTTAGCATAATACCCTCAAGGTCCGTCCATGTTGTCTCAGATGGCACGATTTCATCCTTTTTTATAGCTGAGTAGTATTCCATTGTGTATATATACCACATCTTTATCCATTCATCCATTGATGGGCACCTAGGTTGCTTCCACATCTTGGCTATTGTGAATGTTGCTGCAATGAACATAGGAGTGCATACATCTTTTTGAATTAGCGTTTTTGTGTTCTTTGGATAAATACCTACAAATGGAATAGCTGGATCATATGGAGATTCCTCAAAAAATTAAAAATGGAAATACCATGTGATCCAGCCTTCAGTTTTTCTTAGGCCCACAACCACTGCTCAAGGCCAGCCCTCCTGGGCCAAAGGAAACTTCATCTCTAGAAAACCTTGAAAGAATGCCCCCCACCCCTCTACACTGGCTATTTGGCACCTCTTCTCTGTTTTTCCATACTACCCTGAGAATAATTATATCCCACTAATTATTATATTATAAGCAGTTTATTTGACAACTCCTCGTTCCCTCCGGAAAAAAAAAAAAAACCTATAAATTTTTAGGGAGGGGACTAGGTCTTTCATTTTTTTTTTAATTCCCTCCACATAACAAGTGCTTATAAATGAACTTGGTGAATGAATGAATGAATGAATGAATGAATGAAGCAATCATCAGTAAAGGAGCAAATAACCTCCAAGACTAGGGTTTTGTGTTTTTTTAAAGAACGGCATTGAAAAAACTGTCCTTCCGCCCTCAGGGTTGCTGCTGGGGAAGGAGCACCATGAACACGCCTCCACCCCCGTGCTGCCCACCCCACCCGCCGCAGCGCTGGCCCCCACAACCTCTGCCACGTCTGCCAGCAGCGCCCACGCCAAGACGGGCAGCAAGGACAGCAGCACCCAGACAGACAAGAGCGCTGAACTCTTCTGGCCCAGCATGGCCTCCCTGCCCAACCGCGGCCGGCTGAGCGCGACCCCTTCCAACAGCCCAGTCCTGAGACACCCAGCGGCCAAAGGGGCTGCAGAGAAACCAGGTACGAGCTTCCCACCTCCTTTCACACTCGGAAACCAGTGAGCTCTCTGGCCTGAGAGAGGGAGCCTTCTGTTGAGCTGGGGAGGGAGCAGGGGTGCGGTTGGCTCTCACTTCATGGGGTTTTATGATTATGGCTACCCTAATGTACTCAGGCTGTGTGTGCTCTTTATTCTGTTGGGAGTAATATGTATGTAGACACTCCTAATTTGTTACCATTTAAATGAGTATACGATTTGAGTGAACTCTTTTAATGTATGCTTGGTAACCAACCCTTTCCCCAAAGGGTGAAAAGAGACCCTCCGAGAGATGTTAGGGGATTAGTTCCCTCCAGTATGTTGAGAGCTAGTTCCAGGCACCAGGGACATCAGAGGCATCGGGTACACAGACATTGCCTTCAAGGTGTTTACTCGTCAGGATTTGGGGTTGTGGTACCTCTTGATTGAAGGAGAAGGTAGATTTAACTGCGTAATACGTGAACTTCTGGCACAGTGCTCAGGCCAGTACTGATGAGTTGCTTTGAAATATTTAAGAGGCAACAGCTTGGGAGATGTGATCTTTGCCATGAGTCCAGAAATGTCCGGGGGAAAGAAGAGACTTGGCTTTGGACTAATCTTGGTCATGGGGATAGCCTTCTCTGGGAATTCTTTTGAGGAGGCGGGGGCTATTGGGGACACAAATTAACTGTTTCCTGCAAGGGGGCTCTTTATTTTCATTCTCCAGAACAGACAAGTAAATATAGCGTTGTCATTTTTGGGAGATTTAATTCTTGGGATACACTTTACAGGGAAGGCAGGGAGCACGCGAAAAGTACCAGCTCATGGTGCGAACTCAGTAGTTTTGAATAGAGTGGAGGGAGAGCGGGCGTGAGGGGCTCCCCACAAAGTCCCAATGCCATCTTCACCCACTTAATCCTCTCCCATCACCATCCTGGTTCTGTTATTTGTATCTGAATCCCAGGGCCAGTCATTTATCTTTTTCCACTGTGGGTGGGATTCTCTGGCCTTCCCTACATACACTGGTGGTGAGTGGTGGTATTTGAAATGGTTCCACTTTAGAGAGAACTGGTAAGACCCATGTGCCTCCTTGAAGAACGGGCTGCTGATGTGTCCCTTCTGTTTGGCAGAGAACTCTCTTGGCCATGGGAAGTCACCCGAGCACAAAGGCCGCGTCAGCAGCTTGCTCCACAAGCCCGAGTTTCCTGACGGAGAGATGATGGAAGTTCTCATCTAACATTGGCCTCCCTGCTGAATTCCGTAACAGAACATTGACAAACGAGGAACGTGGCAGAGAGGGAGAGGAAAGATCGAGAAGGTTGTGGATGGGAAATCAGAAATGATTTGAACTGATAAGGATTTCAGATTACTAAGAACACTTTTCATAAATGTTCAGAAAAAAAAACACAGGAGGCCTACATGACTGAAGATGAAGAGAATGGTATGGACTTTTATTGCATATGGTGGAAGAGAGAAGATGCATGTAGGTTTGGAAACAGAAGTAGGAAGTTGAATTTTTGTATTGTACAGAAAATGTATCTCTTGGGGAGGGTTGTGTGTACCCATTCTCTGGTTATAAACAGATAAACCTAAACATGGATATTCCTTGGAATATCCCATTCTCCTTGCCTCTTAGCTTGTTTTGTTTAAGAAGAACCTCCTAGAAATCTCAGTGAGCCCATCTTGACATAATGTAATATCACCTGTACCATCCATGGGGCATCCTGTCAATGTGTGTGGGTGTGGCAGTGAGAAGAAGTGTCCAGAGATGATGGGGAATTTAAAGGGCGGTCTTCACCTAATTACCTGCTTGGTTTGGATTTTCAGGAGATGTGGGGGCTTCTTAGCTTTTCTGGATTCAGCAGTATTTTCTAAGCACGATGGGAGTGTTATGGCCTTGGTGCTCATCCTCCCTAACTTCTCTGAGTTCATCTCTGTCTCTGCTTTATTCTCTTTCATTTTACTCTTCTTTTCCTTCATTTTTTTCCACTTTTTAATAAGACATGGCAGAATTCCTTAGGCCTGGGCTTTGTTAGAGCAGTATCTGAACTGCCACCATTCCTGCTGTGTTTAATAGTGACCAGTGGGACAAAGCCACACCCTGGCTTCCTGGGTGCTTCCTCCACCTGGGAGTGGTTGGGCTGCAGTGTTAATCTCATTCTGACTGTGCACTAGGTAAGCCTTGACAGACGAGGCGGAAGATCCATGGCCACTGTGGTATCTTGCATTAAGATCATGGCCCTGGCTTTTCTCTTGCACAGAATTTGGTATTTCCACCCCGTTGCTCTGTTGGGGTAAGACTTTCAGGACTGCACTCCAGGAAATGTGTGGCACTTGGCTGACTCGCATCCAGAATCTCACCAGCAGCTTGTACCACTTTCTAGTATTTGTGGCTCACGAGCCTAGTCACCACTCTCCCCACCCCCTGCACTCCTCTGGTCGCTGTTGTTGAGCACACGGATTTCTGTGAGTATCAGCGCATGTGTGTTAACACATGAGTTTTTCTCCACCATGAACTTGTGTTATAACCTAACAGGCCAGTATATATACAGTGTGATCAGGTTTTTCGAGGTTTCAGTTTGCAGCAAGTTGTCAACGTAAGACAGAAATACCATGTTAAAGAGCCAGGAGTGAGTGAGGTAGTGGGCCTCTTATGCCCGTGTGTGATGTTTCCCATCTGACTCCGCAGACATCAGCTTTCTTTACAAATCTAGGAGGTGCTAGGTCAGAAAAGAAGAGAAGCCAATCAGGCCATCACATGCTCTTACCAGGTCCTGACATTTTCTTCCCTCCAGGTCAGCTGGTTCTGTGTTTTCCCAGGTCCCTTTCCTTATGCTTACTAAAGGGAAGAGGAAAAAAAGCCCTGGATCTGAGACTTTTTCAAGTCCAACCTAAATGAGACCCTGAAGACAACATTCTTGGGACATTTTGCTTGGGAGGCTTATTTTGGGGTTGGTCTTTGGGGTGTAACCTGGGAGAAGTTATAGCCTCCCCACATTGAGGTGGTAGAAGGATGACAGGTGTAGGCTGGAGAGGGGGAGGGAGGAAACCAATGGCTTTGGCCGGAGGGCCCTCCGAGCCACCCAGCATGGCAGAATAAGCAGGAACTGACTCTTCCCAAGCTCTGCCTGCAGTGGGCGCTGGGCTTACGCTTCATGCACGTTGCCTCCTTTAGTCCCACAGAGTATTGTGCAGCCTGGTAAACCAGAGTAGCTCACCTAGTGCCCTGGGGTGTGGAGAGAGCAGGGAGGCCTTGTCACATCACAGGGGAAAAATTGTGTATGGATGAGGGTGGAGATGGAGCAGAGGGCCCCCCATCTCTGTCTCATCGTTTTTCACAGCTGATGAGGTTCAGTTGATGGCAACTAACTCTCTCAAGGACATTTTGACTCCTGATTAATGTTGGGGATGGACCAGGAAGGAAAGTGTCTAGAGATAGGAGGGCAAGTCATTTCTGCCAGCCCCCACCGCCCACGTCTAGGCCATCCCAAACTTGGGGTGTCTCCCTGAGAAGCGAGTAAGAGCAAGAGCCGCAGCCCAGTCCCCCCAATCCTTGTCTTTATACTCCAGCACACCTTGCCCTTGTGCTCAGGCACGAGGCCACTTGCTCTCCTTGGTCCCCCTGAGTTGTCAGGCGTGTTAACTGTCTGAGTGCAAACACAGACACCACCATTTTTCAGTTGTGCTGTGGTCTTTTGTCAATCATTTTTTATTCTAACCTGCTGAGACTCTTCCATAAGAAGAGATCTATAACTTTAGAAAGTTTTCTTTTAAGGGAGATTTCCTGCTGAGCCAGGGCCCCCCAATACTTATTATCCTTATAGCTTTCTCGAAGCCTTGCTTGCAGATAGGAGAAAGGATGGCAAATACTGAGCACCCGCTCTGCCTGCACTCTGGGCAGTTTACAATATACCTTGTTTGATTTTCAGAAAGTTAGTGCTGACTAGATGCAAGCACTGTGGCAAGTACCTTTGAATGAGTCCTCAAACCACCTGGGGAGCAGGGACAAGTTTATTATTCTTATTTCACAGAGGAGGAAGCTGGGTGTGGGGAGGTTAAGTCCCTTCCCAGAGCCTGGCAGCCGGGAGAGGCTGGGATCTGCACCAAGTGTTCGGGAGACGAGCCGTGCCTTAGTCACAGGCTGGACTGCCCAGACGTGGGGATAATAACCATCTGCCACGTCTGTGATGTGGGCACGTGTGCACATACACACATATACGCGTGTGCACACATGCACACACACACAGCTGCCGCACCTCTCGGGAGCTAAGAAATAGGACTAAAATCCAGAACTCCTAGAATTGCCCATAAACACCAGGCATAGTTGGAAATCCTTGTGTTCCATTATAAGCAAGGTTACAAAATACATCTAAAAAGCGCTTACCTGTTGTCCAGCGGCCTGGACTTCTTCAGAACTTCCCGGGGTGTCTGCCTGTGGAACTTGGGGATCCTGTCTCAGGGTAAAGGGTCAAGGCTTTGGCTCTGTGTGAAGAAACATGCCAGAGTAATTCTGCTTCCCCGTTGACTGTGTCATCAGGCAGTTTGGGTGTGCTGCACAGGGTATTATATGGCATAGGAGATGTTGCTGGATTCCGGTCTCTAACCTGACATTTTGACTAAGTAGATGGTTCTCTATGTAAGAGCTATTCCTATCAACAGGTCCATCGAGCTAAGCTGCCAGGAAACACATTTTGCAAAAATATCAGAGTGTGTGCAGAGCCTTGTCTGAGCCTTTTCTTCTCTTAGCTTTTCTTCTGCTTCCCAGAAGTTGGTAGCTACTGACAGTGCTGCATTCAGCCTGTTCCAAGCAGGCATGTGGGACAGGGCTGCCGCATGCCACCCCGGGCCTTGAGTGGAGGACAGAGAGCGGGGGGCCTCCTCTCTTCAGCCCTGCAGGGCTTGTTCTTTGGAGCGGTGTGAATTTGGCTGCACAGGGCTCGGGTTGGATATCGAGACAGTTGCTCCAAATAAGTAGTGGACTCGGAACAGAGGATGCAGTGGTTCTGGTGCTCAGGGAGAAGGCTGTGGGAACACCCCCTGTAGAGAAGCTGGTCGTCACTCCTGTTTGCTCTCTCCCGGGTTTGCACCCGGCCACCTGTATCCTCAGGATGCAGTGGCTGAAGCGCCTTCGTGCTGAGTGCTGATGGAGTGAGCAGTTCTCCCTACCCAGCAGCTTTCTGAGTCCCAGAGGCCGAGGTGAACGCAGACGTCGGTGAGGCTGGGTGCCGAGGCGGCAGTGAAGAATAGATTGGGGGTTTAAAAGCTTTCAAGGTAGGGAGCTCACGCGTAGACTGCAGAGCGCTATGCTGAGCAGAGAGGTGCGTTTTCCAAAACCAAGGTCCTGCTCCATGTCTGCACTGGAGCCAGTGGAGTGTGTTTCTGTGTGCTCCGAATGACCGTGCTCTCCTCCTAAACAAAGGAGTACCGGGCCATGGTCACTGAGAGCCCACGAACGTTCTTAAACGGTGAAAGCTTTAAGTAGCCAGAGAGTATCCAGCCCATGGTGGCTTCTTCACATCCCCAAACCTGAGGCAGCCATGGCATATGCTTTATAAATGTTGGTTTTCTTTTCTTTTTTCTTGCTAATTAATCAGTGTGTTTCAAATGTCTTCATTTAATGTGAGGATTGTTTAATGGGTTTGCCTCTGATGTGTGGCTCCAGGGGAGATGGGCAGAGTAATTAAGAAGTTACCAGAAGCTGATCAGCTGGGAGCATGTGAAGGTCAGCATTTCAGTAAATGGATTTCTTCTGGAACTAAAGAGCAATTTTTTTCTCTTCCTTTCAAGTAGTGTACCCTTTTCTCGTTTAGTAATTTAATGGTATATAAAGATGTGTATATGTCAGTGCATACATATGAGGTATGACTATAACTATAAGGTTGTGTATTGAATTTCTTTTCTTAATATCCAGACGATCCAAATGTTTCATCTCACCCCACCCTCCTTAAAAGATGACCCTTTGGGAGACTCTATACTGATTACTGCACTGTTGCCTGAGTAGAAACATTTTGTGAACGCCTCTATTGGAATGGCCTTTGGGGGCCTGGCACGTTCCTCTGATTATGCTTAGAGATGAGAAATCTTCATCCTTGGAGGATGGACTTAAGTTTGGAAATAAGCCCAAGTCCTTCACTCAGTTGGATAAATAAAGATGGGTGATTAAGGTAAGTCACACCATTTTAGCTTTTTTAAAAATAAAGTTCCTAAGATGTTCCTTGGAATGAATCTTTGGCCTCTAGAGCCTCTCAAAGTGACCACTTCAAAGGAGGATAGTAGTCATTAGTACCCGTAACTTCTAGTAGATTCATTTTTAGAAAGTGCTTCTCCTGCCATGCCTCGTGTGTGTTCACATCTCTGCATACACACAGATGTCAGCACATATTCATTAGCATAGACCTCCAGTAG